TTCACACGGGAGATAGAACGTAGGCACCTATGAGGCTGTGAAGCCACATCGACTGAAATGGTTGGGAGATGTGTTACGTATGCCTAGACATCGCCTCCCTCAACGGGTAATGTTGGCTGATATAGGGTCAGGGTGGAAAAGAGCTAGGGGCAGTCAAACCAAAATATTATACCAGTCAATGAAATCCACAACAGTTAGTTTAAGCCAGCCACGTGGGAAGGTGTAGAGTAGCTGGTTGGGGTCCTCAGGACGGCAAAAACCAATGGCTGGAAACAATTGGAGATGTGGCTCAAAATCGTTCTCAATGGCTAGCGCAGATGCATCCACTTCCTGTGACTTATGATTTCCAATGAAACTATATTGTTCTTCGTTATTACTATTCCTTTGTCTCACACCTCTGTTTACTGTTTCTATTTTGCATTTCTTTTTAATTTCTTCTCTTGCTTTGTGTGCTAAGTAGAGAATGGCACCTTGAACTGGTGCACATCTGTGCACAGTTCTATATGTTGAAACCACTCGGTCAGTCTATCAGTCAGTGGACGAAGTTGACCTTTGCTTTGGGATTTACACACTTCGCACTTAACACTTTAATCCAGAATTATCTAGTTCAGAATTGTTTCACTACGAAACGAAGGTATGAAGGTATTGGAAGTAAATCTATACAAAAATATATAAATAATTTTTGATGTGGTTGTGTTCCCTGAGCTGGATAGTTAATTTGTGAAGCTTTCATCGCCCTACTAGGCGACATCTTCCTTCAGCGCATACTTCAACTTGTTGAAGTGGGCCCCTAGGAAAGCACGAAGAAAATCGCCTTACCATATATAAAAGATAACATCTTAGAAATTCCTGCAAGACTCTTCAAACCTTTAGGAATTCACGTCGAACACAAACCAACAAAATCACTTCACTCAGTTGACTCTATGTCAACCAAAAGACTCAAGAACAAAAGAAAATAAAACCAACATCATCTACAAAATATAAATTGTAACGACTGAGAAAAAAACTACATTGGCCAGAGTCAACGTCCCCTTCATCTTCGTATCCATGAGCATAAGCTAGCCGTCAAAAGACATGACATCCACTCCTTTATGTCAGTATATACAGACAACCACGGACATCAATTCAATTGGGACAACCAACGTCCAAATATTAGACAGAGGAAACAACAAGAATGCTAGAGAATTTTCAGATGCCTACTTGGCATTCCAGTGAATCATCAATCAATAGACACATCAACATAGACAAAATTTATCAACCGATAAGAAAGAAACCTCACACACACACATACAAAGGATCAAAGTTCAAGTCAGAGAAACAATCACTTCCAATACAAATAGCCTCCTAGAAGGTGTGAAAACACACAAAAACAACCAAAGGGTCACATCCCAGGTCACCAGTAGAGATGATTAATAAACTCGTGGAGAAATCTAAAAGCTCACATCAATTCAAATTGAAGTGTATGAGCTGAAGGAAGATGTCGCCTAGTAGGCCGGGCGATGAAAGCTTCGCAAATGACCAAATATCCAGCTCCTCAGAGAACACCACCACATCAAAAACAACATCGTTTTGTTTTCCATTATATTGGGAAATACAAAAAAACCCTTATTATAATGCATATCATATACCCAATGCCCAAATTTTTTCAAACCGTTAAGAGGTGAACTTGGTTTGGACATATATAACACCATAACTCTTATTTATTGGGACAATAACATGAAAAACAAAAATGTTTCACTATTCTATTTCACCATAAACACTTGTAAACACAAATTTAAGGATACAAACATACACACTCGCATAGTTACTTGGTTAACATTGGGGTTTGTTGTTTATTTTACAAATAAATACGATAAATTCAGGACAAATATATGCCAGTTGACACTAGTTAACCCATTAGTTAGTGATAATAAATTATCACGAACAAGTAGCCTTTATTGTTGTCTAAATAACTTGTGTAATGCATAACAACCGAATCGATAAGATTACTTTGAACTTAATGTCTTCTAATACATAGGCACACTTCAAATACTAGATAGTATATAGTTGTAATGTCTGTCTACCTGTTTTCGACATAGAACTCTGCACCGATGTGCACCAGTTCAAGTCGCCACACTCCCTCCACGGAGCACACAAACTAAAACAGGAAAGTAGAAGAAATGCATAGTAGAGGCAGTAAACAGAGGTGGTGTGAGACAAAGGAATAGTAATAACGAAGAACAAAACAGTTTCAATGGAAATCATAAGTCACAAGGAGTGGATGAATCTGCGCTAACCATTGAGAACGATTTTGAGCCATATTTTATTTTTATTTTTATTTTTTATTTTTGATTACAGCTTGATTCCACACTGTATTTTTGGTACAAGTGTGGAATTTTCAGCGTGGATATCGGTAGCCCAAAATTCGCAGGCCGACCATAGATATCAGGTGTGCGTCGGCGTGGGCTCGAACCCCGGACCATGTGCATGGTCGGCGAGAGTCCTAACCACTGTGCCACCGACGCACAATTGTTTCCAACCTTCATTGGTTTTTACCATCCCGAGGATCCCAACCAGACAGGAAGTCTACATCCTCCTACCTGGCTGGCTTAAACTAACTGTTGTGGATTTCATTGACTGATGAAGTCATGTTTTGGTTTGACTGCCCCTAGCTCTTTTCCACCCTGACCCTATATCAGCCAACATTGCCCGTCGAGGAAGACGATGTCTAGGCATACGTAACACATCTCCCAACTATCTCAGTCGATTTAGCTACACAGCCTCGTCGATTGATTTCCCCTGTTTACCTAGCACTCGACCGAAGCCGAACCTCAATATTGCTCACCTTATTATATCACTTCACACGGGAGATAGAACGTAGGCACCTATGAGGCTGTGAAGCCACATCGACTGAAATGGTTGGGAGATGTGTTACGTATGCCTAGACATCGCCTCCCTCAACGGGTAATGTTGGCTGATATAGGGTCAGGGTGGAAAAGAGCTAGGGGCAGTCAAACCAAAATATTATACCAGTCAATGAAATCCACAACAGTTAGTTTAAGCCAGTCACGTGGGAAGGTGTAGAGTAGCTGGTTGGGGTCCTCAGGACGGCAAAAACCAATGGCTGGAAACAATTGGAGATGTGGCTCAAAATCGTTCTCAATGGCTAGCGCAGATGCATCCACTTCCTGTGACTTATGATTTCCAATGAAACTATATTGTTCTTCGTTATTACTATTCCTTTGTCTCACACCTCTGTTTACTGTTTCTATTTTGCATTTCTTTTTAATTTCTTCTCTTGCTTTGTGTGCTAAGTAGAGAATGGCACCTTGAACTGGTGCACATCTGTGCACAGTTCTATATGTTGAAACCACTCGGTCAGTCTATCAGTCAGTGGACGAAGTTGACCTTTACTTTGGGATTTACACACTTCGCACTTAACACTTTAATCCAGAATTATCTAGTTCAGAATTGTTTCACTACGAAACGAAGGTATGAAGGTATTGGAAGTAAATCTATACAAAAATATATAAATAATTTTTGATGTGGTTGTGTTCCCTGAGCTGGATAGTTAATTTGTGAAGCTTTCATCGCCCTACTAGGCGACATCTTCCTTCAGCGCATACTTCAACTTGTTGAAGTGGGCCCCTAGGAAAGCACGAAGAAAATCGCCTTACCATATATAAAAGATAACATCTTAAAAATTCCTGCAAGACTCTTCAAACCTTTAGGAATTCACGTCGAACACAAACCAATAAAATCACTTCACTCAGTTGACTCTATGTCAACCAAAAGACTCAAGAACAAAAGAAAATAAAACCAACATCATCTACAAAATATAAATTGTAACGACTGAGAAAAAAACTACATTGGCCAGAGTCAACGTCCCCTTCATCTTCGTATCCATGAGCATAAGCTAGCCGTCAAAAGACATGACATCCACTCCTTTATGTCAGTATATACAGACAACCACGGACATCAATTCAATTGGGACAACCAACGTCCAAATATTAGACAGAGGAAACAACAAGAATGCTAGAGAATTTTCAGATGCCTACTTGGCATTCCAGTGAATCATCAATCAATAGACACATCAACATAGACAAAATTTATCAACCGATAAGAAAGAAACCTCACACACACATACAAAGGATCGAAGTTCAAGTCAGAGAAACAATCACTTCCAATACAAATAGCCTCCTAGAAGGTGTGAAAACACACAAAAACAACCAAAGGGTCTGTTATGCACTCGTCGCTGAATTATTGTTATGGACTGGTCGAGAAACTAATAGTCCTGACGCGAGAAGGCGGAAATCAGAAGACCACTAGGTTTGCGATGATACTTCTATTGTCCAAACACAAGGAGACGAAAATAAATGGTCTCACACCAAAGTGGTAAGTAAGTAAAGCAAAGTAGTTGTAAAGTAAGGTCACAAGATTGTGTATGCGAAATATATATAAATAATTCAGACAAGCGTGGGAAAAATCATTAGACAGTCTTAACATGAATGGCTAATTATAATGGAGTGTCGATCCAATTATACATAGCGAATATAGCAGACATGCCAACAAACATATATGGATATATGTCACCAAGCAACGGACTGTCAACAAACACTCATATTATATATAATATAATATAATATAAGGAGAATACACATTATTAAAGGAGACAAGTCCATACAAGTGAAGTGGTCACAGACTAACCGAGCAAACAGAAAGAGAGACCAACATGCACACACACACATAAATATATATATGTGGATACATATCAGGGTCACATCCCAGGTCACCAGTAGAGATGATTAATAAACTCGTGGAGAAATCTAAAAGCTCACATCAATTCAAATTGAAGTGTATGAGCTGAAGGAAGATGTCGCCTAGTAGGCCGGGCGATGAAAGCTTCGCAAATTAACTCTTCATCCCAGCTCAGAGAACATAAGCACATCTAAATCATCCACTACCTGGGCTACAAATCTTTTCTATCATATCTATATATAAATAACTTTTTTTAAACTGACCTGTCTTTCTGGTTCTACAACTATGACTTGATCATTTTCTTCAGAAACCAGTAAACAAGTTGAATAAGATGATTTAAGCATATTGATAAATAATTCATTGGATAAAACATCCAACTTTTTCACCTCTTCACCTTGTATATTACTGGAACCAGTTAGACCATAACTTTATAATATTGAAATAATAAAAAAAAAATAGATAAACAATTTATAAATATAATATTTGTTAAATAATACAATAAAATGCAGTAGTGAAAAAAATGTGCATATACCAGTTCACTTGCTCGTGCGGAGCTAGGTACATAGATCGTTGTATGCGCGTCCTTTCAAAACGTGTTAGGGGAACATTACCCAGCGTGGCTGCTAAGAGGAGGAGGCACCGGTTCAATCAGAAATGCCAATAATAATAATATTAACAGCCTTATTCCAAACAGTATTTGTAGTACAGGTATGGAATTTTCAGCGAGCATTACAATATATTGCATTTAAATACCTCATAAATTTTATAAGATATTAGAATCAAAAAGCAACACCCAAAAAAAAGACAAAGAAAAAGAAATAAAAAAGAACAGCGCCGCGTTTACATTTTAAACAATGCACCACAAGATATGAAATATAAAATTGGTGTGTAATAGAAGAGGAGAACAACAGTGTAATAGTAACGAGGAAAGAAAAACAAAAACTAATGGGACTATTTGTTAGAGTTCCGCAGTAAGTTTATCGTGTCATACCTAACGGATTTCTCATCACATAACAGCTGTGCCAGATATGGTATTGTGGTGTTTTTGTACTTGGTAGTCCTAGCATATAGCCAGCCTCCTATAGCTGCTTCTAGTTCTACCAGATGAAATGTAAGGAGAGAGAGCTGTGTATAGAGAGGATGCTCAGGGTCTGACAATATTGTATTTGCTAGTTTCTTACATGACATCATATGTCTATCCACAATAGTGTTAGCCAGTTGGCTTTTAGTGCCCTTCTCAGAAAAGCCAAGTCTTTCTTAAGTAGTCCAGGAAAGATTAATGGGGAGCAGTAAAGGGAGATGGGTAGAATACAAGAATTAACAAACTGAGAAAGCAGATACTGCTTTATGCCAGACTGCCTAAATTTCCTGATGTATAACGTTGAGCGAAACATCTTCCTAGTAACTAGCAAGATGTGGGAGGACCAGGAAAGATCGTTGGAAAAACTCAGCCCAAGGTACTTGACATTAGATGTATTTTCAACCGCTATGCCTTCAATGATAGTGACGCCATGTGAGCTAACTAGTTGTTGTAGGTCACGTTTACGTCTGAAATAACCATTTTACAATTATATCTTAATCCTGTGCAATTCTGTGTTTCTATGCCTCTTGTAATCTATATTCACACCTCCTATCTAGTATTTCAACTTGAAAATTTTGATTTCAATTTGTTTCCATGCTCATTTTGTTCACACCTGTAGTTCGTTCTATCCCTGCGTTTCTAAGCCTCTTGTAATTCATATCAAGTTGAAAATAATTGTCACCTTTGATTCGCCTTTAAAATTATTATTTCTCCAGTTATCAAATATTAATTTTTTTTGCATACGTTGTAACTATTTTCTAATCCTATGAAATCTTCTCTCTAAGTCCCTTGTAATCTATATTCGTACCTTCAAACTTTCATATCAAGTTGAAAATTATTATCACCTTCGTTACTATGTGGAATTAAACACATAATAATTGTATCCATGTAAAATAATCTATATAAATGCGATTGTACGGCTGCTTTTGAGAATGAAATCACCTAAAAGGCAGATGTCTTTGCTGAACTTCGTGTTCTCTTCTTTCTAATGTCCATATGGATATTTTCCACGAACCAAAAGAAACTTCAACGTAATAGGATGCCTTCAAACTTCACTAGTACTTAAAAAGATATTTCCTTACTTTAGTATAACTGACTGACTGACTGATTTCAACACAGAACTTTCCACACAAGTGCACCAATCCGAGATGCTATGCCACACTCCATTTAGCACACAGAAGGAAGACAAAAGAGAGAAAAAAGAGAAGAGATTCGAATGTGAACGATAATAAGCAGGAACGTGGGGGGGGGGTGGGTGGGAAGGACGGGGAAATCGCAACATGGTAAAACAATAGCGTTCTTATCGGACGTCGCCAATCAAAAAAAGCGATTTTGAGCCATATGATGGATATTCTCCCGTCATTGATTCTTGGAGTCCCGAGGACTTCAAACAAGCAGTTTGTAGCGGTAGGTAACTCCCCAGAATTATTATTGACCACAGCATTCATCAATGAACATTGTTTGGGTCGACTTGTTCAGCTGAAGGCTTACGGTTAAGCATCCACGCCATTTGGAACGCCGCCGTGTCACGCTCGTTCGTGCACGATCACTAGCTAGTTAAGCAATCACCTCCGATTTGGTCCCGAAATACACTTCGTGATTTTGACGATCAATTCTGGTGTTTCGCTTTGCCTTTGGTCTACGCGGAACGAATACTATAGAAGTTGTGGGTATCAGATCTTGCGTTAGTATAAATTGTACTATCCGTGGATCGAACTAACTGTCAAAGGTTTCATAGACCGAAGAAGCCGTGTTTTAGTTTGACCACTACTAGAAGTCTCTTCCAACGTGATCATATTGGATTTAACATTGAATGTCGCGAAAAGCGGTGGCCACGCATGTGTAACACATGTCCTAGTTATCTCAATCAATGTCACCTCACAACATCCTCGGTTGATTTAACCTCCTTACCTAACACTCAACGCCTAACCTCAATTTTACTCAACCTGTCGTACCACTTCACACGCGATATAGAACACAGACACCTATGATTGAAGACAGCTAGTCTTTTCATGTCTTCCATTTTACAGGAGTGAATCGCATGTCAAACATTCAAAGATTTCTGCTCAAGGTATCCAGAAGACTATTTTTTCACGGTCTTTACACAGGAGGTCCATATCCTCGGCATATTCTGAGTCATCAAGACTATTTCCTGGTAACAAATTAATTCCATTAGTAGATTTATGATGACATAAAATTGCCTGAGTATGCCTCCCACGCTATCTGAGTCACTTAAGCTACGACAGAACAAATAGCTAAGGGATGTACAACTGCGTCTATTATTCATAGCTGAACCTATATTATTGAACAAGAATAAATCTAATGTACAAATCCAGTTAGATTCCAGTCAATATATTTGTATACCTCAGGTTATCATAAGGTTATCCCATATCTTTATGCCTTAATATGTCCCCTTTAGCAAGCTCTCTTTCTCACTCTCTTCTACGAAGCGACTAATTTACATCATACTATTATTATTATTTGCCATCCTTTGAATTTACCGTAAGTTTATCCTATTTGTTTGTTTCATTTGCATTATTTTGTATTTCAATGGTGTCCCTTTATCCCCCTGGAACATGAATTAAACATTTGAATGGTTTCAACGCAGAACTCTGCACTGATGTGCAGCAGTTCAATTTGCCACACTCACTCCATGTAACACACAAAGCACAAAAAGAAAGTAAAAAACAGACACAGACAGTAAACAGAGATATGAGGCGAAAAGATTAATAGCATCGAAGAACAATATATTTTTATTAGGTATTATAAATCACAAGGAGTTGATTAAAGATTTAACAAACACAACACCTGAAGAGATGATCAGAATTGACTGCCAACACTTTCATAGCATTCAATTTTATCCACTATATTACTGTGGATTACTATCAACAGGAGGAATTTGAAAGAGGTTACTTCATTCACTCACTTATCTAGGGAGCATTGTCTCAACTACAGGAAGTCGGAACGGACCAGGATGCCAAATCGAGCGAGAATCGGGAAGGCGAGAAACACATACATTCACCAACCTGAAACCAATCTGGAAATCTTCGTCACTCAGCCAGAATCAACAACAAAATTCGGTCGGATTTTCAATACGAACGTCAAGTCAGTCACTTCTTATATACGGATCAGAAACTTGGCGGGTCAGGAGGAATATTTCTAACAGCCAATTGCAGACATTTATCAACAACAGCGGTCTTCGCTGGCTCTATACTGAAGATCAAATGGCCAGAAAGAATCACCAACAAGAAACTATGGGAAAAAACAAAACAAGAACCAATCAATCGCCAGCCAACAAATATGCAGGAGAAAGTGGAGATGGATTGGACACTCGCTCGCTGAGGAGGCCGCTGGGTGACATCGCGCATCAGGCCATCACTCGAGTGGAACCCGAAAGGGAAGCGACTAGTGGGTCGTCAGTGCAAGGGTGACATGGAGGAGATCGTGTGAAGAGGAGTTGAAACAGTATGGACTAACATGGATGCAGGTGAAGAGTACAGCAGAAGACAGAAGCAAGTGGAAACGTGCAGTTGAAGCCCTATGTTCCACTAGGAACCCAAGTGAATAATAATAATAATAATATTACTGTATTCATATTACATGGAGGATTTAATCATGAGCTGACATCAGTTAGAGAACCACTGGAAAACCTGGGAGTACTGGACAGCTCTTTCGTCCTAGTTTGGGACTCTTCAGCAGTATGCACCCACCGGGATTCGAACCCAGGACCTTCAGGTTACAAGGTGGGTGCGTATTGCTGAAGACTCCCAAACTAGGACGAAGCAGCTGTCCAGTACTCCCAGGTTTTCCAATGGTTCTCTAACTGACGTCAGCTCATGATTAAATCCTCCATGCAATCAAACAAAATCCCTACAAAACCAATACTTGAAAAGTATTCATATTACTAAGGTTTTATCTTTACTGGTTACTGTATGATAATGTTTGTGGATTTATAATTGCATCACGAGAAGAATAGTAAGTTACTTAAAAACAAATGTGCTCTCAAATCTTTCCTGTTTTGAACACTCATTCTTTTTATATTCCCACTTAAAAGTAAAAAAGGACATTTTGAATCCATCCACTGTACACTACTTCTGAAACTATTTCGTGCCTATAAATAATCGTACGAATATGAAGCCTATTTCTACACAGTATAGTTGTATAAATTATTGGAAAAAGTTCCTTTTATTCTTTATGTTACGTTAACTCTGACATGCTGTCACCGACTGAGATTATTTGATATTGAGTTCAAAGTTTGATCCCCACTAACTGAATGATGTAAAGAAGAATAATAAAGGTGTTTTGTGCGTACAAGTTTTTTATACAGTATACATCTCACTGAATGGAATGCAGATAGTGCTTACCCCAATTACTATATTATTATCTCATTAAGTGCCTAGAGGAACATAGGGCTTCAGCCTCACATTTCCGTTGCGTTCGGTTCCCCGCCAACGTTTTCACCTGGCTCCCTGTCTGCCCACATGCTTTCATCTCCTCTTCACATAGCTCCCTCCATGTCACCCTCAGACGACTAACTCGCCACTTTCTATTCAGGTTCCACTCGAGCAATGGCCTGGCGTGTGATAACACTTGGTTTGTTTTCTCAGAGTATGACCAATCCACCTCTATTTCTTCCTGCATATTTGTTGCACAATCGGTTCCTGCTGGGTTTGTTCACTCCTAGAGATCCCTGTTGGTGATCTTTCCTGACCTGCCATCTGATCTTGAGTATTATTAAGCGAAGACAGCTGTTGATGAAGGTCTGTAGTTTCTTCGAAGTACCCTTCGTAACGCGCCAAGTCTGAGTGCTGTTCATTTCCACACACACACACTGGAGAGTAATGAAAGCTTGCCTTGCTTTCCCGACCCTCGCTTTGATGTCCTCATCAGTGCCATCCGCCTGTAGCTGAAACAATGCCTCCCAGGGAAATAAAGCTTACCCCAATATGATACCATAAATTGTTTCTCCACTTTATCAACCTTGGAATCAAAGCACCTTCCCTCCTTTACGTAATAATAAATAGATATTCCTAATAAAAAGCGTAAATCTGGTAAATTTAATAGAGAAGTGATATCTCAGTGGAAATGATTTATGCTATCAATACACACGTTAGACAGCCCAACAGATAGCTACGGGAAATCAACTGATCGCAAAAGCTGTTTGCGATCTAAATCAAGATAAAATAATAGAATCTACTTCTATAAAGATTGGCTGAGGTTAAAGAAAGCATAATCGAGAAAAATAGGAAGTACACATGCATTTACACATCATTATCTACATTCCAGAAATGTTTGCTTGTTTTCATCTAGTACCTTTTAGGTAAGGAGGGAAAATTAATCGACAAGGCTTTGAAGCTAAATCAACTGAGATGATTGGGAGATGTGTTACGTATGCCTAGACATCGTCATCCTTGTCGGGCATAGGGTTAGATTGGGAAAGGGCTAGCGATGGTCGAACCAAAACATGACTTCATTAGTCAATGAAATCCACAACAGTTACTTTAAGCTGGCCACGTAGGGAGGAGTACACTTCCTGAGTGGATGAGGTCCTAGAGATGGTGAGAATCAATGATGACTGCAGACAATTGGTGATATGGCTCAAAATCGTTCTCAATGGCGCAAATTTATCCACGAATTCATCCTTGTGACTTATAATACCCAATAAAACTATATGGCTCTTCGCTATTACTATTCTTTTTGCCTAATACCTCCGTTTACTGTCTATTTTGCATTTCTTTTTACCTTCTTTTTGTGCTTTGTGTGCTACATGGAGTGAGTGTGGCAAATTGAACTGCTGCACATCAGTGCAAAGTTCTATGTTGAAACCATTCAGACAGTCATCTAGTATTTGTTACTTCAGTATATCTTTATCATTTGATTAGACACTAGGTAATAATTAATGCCGTTCATTTAGTCCTTCGTTTGGCGCAGATTAAAATCTGTCAGTCAAGTTAACAATGTGATCAACGTGCTAGATGGGTCATCAATCCAGTGCACTCTACAGTGTTGTTAGATGGTTGGAGAATCGTCAAGAAGGCTCGGACCTAGGTTTCGTGTCTGTTAGCACTTGTCAGTACAGCGTTTCCGCAATCTTGAAGGAAATCACGCCGAACTATTCACATTTGCTGACTACACTTTTAACACAGTTATTCATTCGCAATTTCGAAATGTATCTATACTTTACTTTGACTCACTGATATAGAAGGCTGTTTGGGTGAAAGCAATTCACGCACCATAACATTTCTCGGTTAAGAAGAGGTTAACATGGTGGTCTATTCTACTGTATTGGCTTGTACTCCACATTTACGTCAAGTTCTCAGTAATATTTCCAAACAGAGTGCACTACAGTACAATGCTTCGTAAAAATCTCCTAACTCCTAAAATTGAACTACTCAGTTTCACTGATCGATATATTCAGTAAAAATACGCCTATACTTTTGTTCGCTCTGTGAATGTCGAAATTTTTTAGCTCAATGGAGAATTTGAGTAAGACGAAATAAACATACATTATTAATAGCGGATTATGGTGACTTAAAGTCATCATCAGAGTTCACGATAAACAGCATGATGAACTCGCTACTAGAAAACATATTACCATACTGGAATTGTCCAGTACAGTATGCATAACTGAATGCTTCCTTAGCAAAACAATGAGTAATATTTCAGCTATTGCAGCTAGTGTAACGAATAATGGTTTGAAAACAGATGCTGGGAAATTCATAGACGGTAACACCAGAGTTTTGCAGATAGAATACAATACGGAAATGGAGACGAAGCTGGTTAACTAATGCATTCCGAAACGCTGAATTATCTTATAACTGCTGTAAATAAGGTAGACAATTATATTATGCATACCATTTACTACTTTACTTCCATACGTTTGCCAGCAGAAGCAAAAGTTTAAACAGACGCCAAACAACCCAGTCACAGGATATTCTTAGACCTGGGATATGTGGGTAAAAACGTTAGCAGTTTTCCGTTCGAAAGTGGGCGAAGTGACAAAAACTGAGCTAATTTAGTTAAAACGTGGGTTAAATGGGAGAAAGTCAACCCTAAAAACTTAAGTAGATTTCTATTTCTCACTGTTCACATAGGACTTTTAAAACACAATGATACGGAATTCGATCTCACAGCTTACAGATTTATCATTCCTGCCTTACGGACAGCATTTGAGACAGCTTTTATAGCCGTCTGAAGACCATTCATAAGTTGGGTCAGTTCACCGGTTGCATTTGGACATTTTCGTTGCTCTTGAAGAATGAATCGAGTTAAAGTTATGTAGTCAGTCTCAAGGCCACTTGAAGAAGCCATAGTAACGTACCAACTAAATTACCACCAATTCTAGGTCATACGATTGATTGGGTAAAACAACTAGATCACTTGGTGGAATGGGAATAATTATCTTTAAGTGCAACTACAACGTAGAAACATGGAGATCACACAGTTTACGATACTATCTTCATGCCGCTTACCCCGGAGTACGCCTTTCCAATATCCAATATCGTTTTTACGAGCTAGTATAAACCAATTTGATTTCTTTGTGCTCGCTTCTTGATTGTGAGGTATAGGTTCTCGATCTTCGGTAAACTTCTGCGTAGCTTGTCCCGCCACTCGCCTGTCGTAGCTTTGGTTGACTCCAAAGGGAGTAGTGCTGGGATTAATTATATGTGGTTTGTAGTATGAGGTATGTTAAGACTGTTACTGCTGTGATTGGAGTTGATCCTTTCGCCAGTAAGTCCTTCGGTATTGTCGACAAGAGAAAAGAGATAGTAATAATAATAATAATAGTAATAATAATAATAATGATAAATATAATTAGTGAAGCTATTCAGACTAAGAGACAGAAACGAAAATAGGAAACGTAACAACAGTCAGCTCATTAAGTTTGAAGAATAATATATATATCGGTAATAGTAATAATAATAATAGTAATTATAATAATAATAAGTTGTCAGGAGAGTAAGACGGGAGAGAATGTAAAGAAGTAAAGTGACGAGTTTAATTATCTACCCTGATTGGTAAATGCGATTTTAAGGAGATAGGCCATTTGGATGCAGTCCTTGTATCGCTGCATGGTTGTCCAGCCTTCGCTTAAAGGCGTCCAAAGACGGTGCCATAGCTACATCTGCCGGTAAGGAATTCCAGGGACGACAAACCCGCAGTGAAAAGAAGTGGGAGCGCACCCGGGTCCTTGCCCTCTGGTGAGCTATCCTTCTGGGATTTCCACGTGGAAGCCTATACCTACTCAATGGCAGAACACCTTTGTTTGGGTGATTCTGGTCATTTGTTATTTTGTAGGCAGTAATCAAATCCCCCCTAAGCCGACGGTAACTAAGTGTGAACAGGCCTAATTTCTTCAGCCTTTCATCATATGGTTTGTTTCGGAGACCAACCACTCCTTTTGTTGCCCGTCGTTGGACTCTTTCCAAGAGGTTGGCAACTCTTCTCAGCATTGGGGGTGCAATAATAACATTTCAAAAATAACATCTGAAGGAATTGCGGCTTTAATGAGTTAATCGCATCAGAAGCTCTACTAGTGAGCCTTGGCTGAGTAATTTGGCTACAGAACTATTTACTCCTCAGCTTATTTAATCAATCAAGTTTACAACCATTCGGTCTATCTTTCCTATCTTGGGTATTTTAATGGATTTTCACCATCATGAATACTGTATCCGAACTAGCCGACACTTTCTAGTGGATGATGAGATACAGTGTGGTTTACACGACTAATGGTTCCAGCAAGGTTGCACCTGCCTAAAACCCTTGCTATAGAGCAGATGCAGTAAGGCATCGTCTTCATTGGCGAACAAATTCTGTGATGAATCTGTTGACGTTCTCATCATGGAAATAGTAAAACTTCTTGTGCCCACGATCCCGAGTAGAAATTTGATGAGGCAAAAGGGGTGGCACTTATCACCATTCTATTTTGCAGGTGTTATTTCCGGCACCATGAACTGTATGGAAGCTTAAAGCAGTGTTCTAACAATATAAGAAGGCATGTGATGCACAGTATTGTAGGACCATCTGGCGAAATTATGACAGGAAAGCATAATGTGCTAACTAAAATGCAGGGCTGCTGTTCACTGCAACACCACAATGGAGGCATGTAACTGCACACTCATCAAGCCACCAGGTAAAAGTTCAATTACACCCAGAAATAATAATATGGATCTGCAGTGACCCAGTTTATTACTCACCATTATAGTATACTTTCACTATATAGAGATTGAGTGCTAACAATTGATACATTCGTACTCGCTCAACTTTTGAATTTTTGTTACTGCAATAGTACACGTTCGTACTCCTTCTCAAGTGATTTTTGATTTACGTCGTGGACGTAGAGTAATCACAACCTTATGACACAATAATAAACGCGAAGAAGTACTAAGATATGCGTGTACGCTAGTTTGATCAAAAAGAGCACAACAACAGATCTACCAACGAGGTCGAGAGCTGGAATTCTGAAGGACCTATCGAAATGAATCTAGCTGCGCGCCATCTACATAATCTCGAAGTTTTGTTGCCATTCTGAAAAAAGAAAGGAATTTATGTATGAAGTTATCACAGCTGGAAAATGTAATGCCAGTACGACTGGAAGCTCTAAATGACCATTTAAAGCAAAAGTAGAGAATGTGGGAATAGGAATATCATTCTTAACAACTCACCCAAATCAGGAACAGAAAGTTGACACAAAGGTCTGACTGGCCATTAGTGGATAAAATTAACAGAGGGAAAACCGTGGCGTTGGCACGGTGGTTAGTACTCTCGCTGACCATGCACATGATCCGAGGTTCGATCCCCTACCGACGAACACCTGATATCTGTGGTCGGCCTGCAAAATTTGAGCTACCGATATCCACGCTGAAAATTCCATACTTGTACCAAAAATACAGTGTGGAATCAAGCTGTAACCAAACTAAAAATAAATAGAATAATCATGTAAATGATTTCTTGATATTGGGTTGTTGGGTAGAAAGATCTTGGAAACCCATATTAACAAGACCTCTGTTCAAAAGACAGATGAACACAGGCATATCACTATGTTACACAAACTTGTTTAGTCATAGGAAAGATCTTTCCGAATTGGGTGTGCTATCTGAAAGACCATCTTCGCCTAGATTGCTAGCTTGCTAGTATTCTAGCCGGTCCCAAGCCCGGATAAAGAAGGAGGTTTGGGGCGCGGTTCTAGCAACTCCACTCCCCAAAACTTAACCAAATTGCCACAAAAACTTCAACGCCTAAATACATTTAAAAAATACTAAAAATACAAACAAAAACCTTGTTTTTCGCTGGAATCCGGGAAGTGAAATGACGCAGGCTGGCGAAATCTTTCGGGAAGCCAGTCAGCCGATGTACCTTCTTTCAATAAAACCAAAAATAAGGATGGGGACGACGAACAAGCTGGATCCAGCGAGGAAATCATATTATGACCAAATTATAACTCTACGCATCATCATCACAGAACAAAGCATGGAATGGCAACCTTATAGACTTTGAGAAGGCCTTTAAAAGCGTTGACCGCGAAGTAATTTGGAAACTACTCGAGTACTGCGGCGTACCTCAAATGTTCATCAACCTCATTCAACAGCTGTATGACAACGGCACATGTCACGTGCTCCACAACGAAAAACTCAACGAGGAGTTTGGAGTAAACACAGGAGTCAGACAAGGGTGCTTATTATCACCGACGATGATATTCCTAATTTTGGTGGACTGACTGCATTATGCGTCAGACAGTGGGAAACGAGAAGACACGGATAACCTGGACCGACGTGAAGAACCTAGAAGACCTGGATTTATGTTTGATGCCACTGTCACAAAATCGAAGACTTACAAGCGAAAACCAACCGACAAGCTGGTTAAAGAAGCAGCAAAGACGGGACTCCAGGTGAACATAGAAAAGACGGAGGTTATGAAATTAACCAGATAACAACAACAGCAGCAGCAACATTCAACGCCAATCACCATCGACGGGAGGTATTTGAAAGAGGTTACTTCATTCACTCACTTATCTAGGGAGCTTTGTCTCAACTACAGACGGTCGGAATGGACGAGGATGTCAAATCGAGCGAGAATCGGGAAGGCGAGAAACACATACATTCACCAACCTGAAACCAATCTAGAAATCTTCGTCACTTCGTCAACACATCATGCTTATGAAGTTAAGCTATGCAGTCATTGATTTCAGAAGCCGTTACAAAAAAGATAGAGCTACTTGCACCTGTCTTTTTCTCAAAAGATTTAACGCTCAATTTTGTCTCCTTACAAGGAAATTCGTGGAATATTACAATCCATTTAGAGCGCCAGTAATATGAATATTTTCAGCAGGGCAGAAAATCTATCGGAATCGCAGATACGGAAAACAGCAAAATAATATTTTATTTCCCTTCGCATGTATTAAGATAGATTCTTCACGAATACGTTTTGCAAACTGTAAATGGATGATAACTGGTTCAAAAATATAATGGCATCAACAACAAAATTCGGTCGGATTTTCAATACGAACGTCAAGTCAGTCACTTCTTATATACGGGTCAGAAACTTGGCGGGTCAGGAGGAATATTTCTAACAGCCAATTGCAGACATTTATCAACAACAGCGGTCTTCGCTGGCTCTATACTGAAGATCAAATGGCCAGAAAGAATCACCAACAAGAAACTATGGGAAAAAACAAAACAAGAACCAATCAATCGCCAGCCAACAAATATGCAGGAGAAAGTGGAGATGGATTGGACACTCGCTCGCTGAGGAGGCCGCTGGGTGACATCGCGCATCAGGCCATCACTCGAGTGGAACCCGAAAGGGAAGCGACTAGTGGGTCGTCAGTGCAAGGGTGACATGGAGGAGATCGTGTGAAGAGGAGTTGAAACAGTATGGACTAACATGGATGCAGGTGAAGAGTACAGCAGAAGACAGAAGCAAGTGGAAACGTGCAGTTGAAGCCCTATGTTCCACTAGGAACCCAAGTGAATAATAATAATAATAATATTACTGTATTCATATTACATGGAGGATTTAATCATGAGCTGACATCAGTTAGAGAACCACTGGAAAACCTGGGAGTACTGGACAGCTCTTTCGTCCTAGTTTGGGACTCTTCAGCAGTATGCACCCACCGGGATTCTGATGTTACGGTACCTATGAAAACGTGTTTAATAATGAAAGCGACCTCACTTCATTCATACTCGGGTAAATGTGTCTCGCAGTAGACAGATTCAATGATCAGAAGTTTTTCTAGCACAATACATTGGGACCAACATGAGGACTAGTTTATGGGCCTTAGGGGGGCATGGCATTAGCACTGGTAAATC